CGGGCGCCCTCCCGGCTGCCGCGTAGTGGCTCTCAGCCGCCTGTGAACGTGCCTGTCGGTCTCGCCCCCTTCCAGGTGGGGGTGGAGATATTCGCCGCCCTCGCCGCGGGACACACAGAGCACGCCAGCGGGGGCCGCGGGGGCCGCGGGGCTGCGATGTGCGTTCCCAGGTCTGCGCGGCGGTTTTGACGCGGCCTCACACCGCGCACATCGTTTCCCTATCCCGAGACCTGCAGGCACCCAGGACCGAGCGTTCGAAACTGGGCGAGGAACAATGCGTGTGCCACAAAGTAAGTTTAATGGGTTGCAACCAGCAGGAAAAGAATAAAATAGAATACAAAGTATCAGTGCGTCTCACGTTGTAAGGATTGTGGACATTTTGTTGTGCGTGTATAGATATTTACCCTCCAAACTGAGGCACCTTTGAGACGGAGACGAGGTGCAGTGTAATTAGGACAAAGGTGTCATCCGAGCCTGTCTCTGGCCAAGCAGGACATGTGGACACTGCGTGTGCGCACTCAGAATGTAAAATGCATCACAGACATTTCCATGGTCCCCAGACGAGTCATTGGCGTCCATTCTTGTTCCTCACACACAACTTCATGAACTGCCTCTCAAATGTCAGTCTTATCTTGACGCGTCCTTGCCTAACACTCTGCAAGGATCACATGCATCCACTGTCATCAGGCCCTTCACAACCAGTATCGCCCCGCCTGGCTTACTGTCAGCGGGTCCCATCCCTGCCCCTGTCGCATTCCTTTATTCCCGGCTGCCCCGTCTGCAAAGCCCTCTCTCCTTCCCCCAAAGCAGAGCCATCACTCACCTTGCAAAGCCTGGTTAAGCGCCTCCCCGCCCCCAGTGGCTCCTTGTTTCTTTGCAACACAAGTTCCTGTTGGTCATCCATGGCCACTTTGTTTACCTGGCTGTGCCCTCATAGAACACATGACCCTAAATTTTTATAAATGTTTATTTATTCCTGTAAGACTATACATCTGAATTACAATGATGGTTATCTCTGGGTGGTGACTTTACTTAAGATGTTAACTTACAAAATTTCCTCAGGGAATTTGCATCACTTGTTTAATCAGAAAAAGGAAAAGAAACAAATTTGTGTTGAATAGCAAATGAAAATTTCATTTCTATTTCCTGTTGGTAGTTTAATGCATATCTTTCTAAACTTTTTACATAAAGTTTTATGCATAGTTTTTTAAAATTTGAAAGTAGTTTTAAATGTACAGAAGTGTTGAAAATATTTTTAAAAATTAAAAAATGGATAAATTGGATTTTATAAAAATTTAAAAGTTTTGTGCTTTAAACAGCACCATCAACGAAGCAAAACGACACCCCAGAATGGGAGCAAGTATTTGCAATTTGATAAGGGTTCAGTATCCAGAATACATAAAGTAACTCTTATAATTTAATAAAAATAAGACAAACTATTAAAAAGTGGGCAAATTATTTGAATAGGAATTTCTTTAAAGACGATATAGAAAATGGCCATTAGGCACATAACACAAAAAAGGTCAACATCCTTAGTTATCAGGGAAATGAAAATCAAAGCCACAGTGAACTACCATTTCATATCCTAATATGCCTCTAATCAAAAGGACAATGACAATGACAATTTGGGGAGGATGTGGAGACACTGGAACCCTCACGCTCTCACTGGTGGGAATGTAAATGGTGCGGCCACTTTGGAAAACAATGTGGCAGCTCCTTAAAAAGCTGAACACAATGATATGACCTAGCAATTCCATTCTTAGGTCTATACCCAAGAGAAATTAAAACGTGTCCATACAGAAACTTAAACACATCTACTTATATAAAAACCCTGGGTATAACATCACAGCCAGAAGTACGACCAACCGGAAGGAAGTCAGTTCTGCAGGGGTCTTCTTGGAAACGCTGTGCCCTACCGCCCCCCCCCAAAGGGTTTCAGGCAGGAACCCGCCCTCCCATCCGAGCGTGGAAGTACTGAGTCTGGCCTTCAAACCAGACCCTGACAGGAGGGAGGAGGCAGCTCCATTGCTCACAGGATCTGCTGTTGGATAGCTTGCTGTCAGTGGCCTGCCAGCCAGGAACCCCATTCACCTGCACCCCGGACCCTGACAGGAGGGGGGAGGGAGCCCCATTCCTCACGGAATTGGCAGGTGGCCAGCTTGCTGTCAGGGGTCTGCCAG